AGGAGATAAGGGTAGTGGTCTTGCCTTTGTTTAAACTTCCTTGGGATTTTATGACCCTTTTATAACTTTTGCAAATAGTTAACTTTAGAATTCATTTCTCTCTTTCAAAACTTCTTTTTTCCTTCTCATTATATACATAACCTTTATAAATTTCATACTTTCAAATTAGTCTTCAAACCTTCTTTTTATGTCCTTCAAAAATGCATTTCTACTCTAATATTCTTTCTTTCCGTTATTAACTTGTATATACCTTCAGCAATTTGTATAGACCTTTTCCTTTAAAATGTATGTCCTACCTTCTATTATTAAAACTACAATATTTAAACCTTAATTTTACAATGATAATTAAAAGTAAACAGCCAGCATTTCTTAAATTGACATTTATCAGTACACTTTTTGTAATTATTCTAAAAGATATCAATTAAATTTAAATTGGTTTTTATATTAAAAATTTGGTTCAGACCATAGAGTTAATTCTCCTTTTTTTAAAAAAATCAGGCCAATAAAATATTATATTCTAAGTTGAAATTTTACTACACGTGTGTTAACGTAAAAAAACCATTGAAACCTGTAAAGAATTTTTGTGAGTTTATTTGAGCCAAACTGTCGACATATGCCGGGAAGCAGAACCTCAGCTAATTGAGATAATGCTCCGGAGAATGGCGGGTTTACATTTGTATTTATACATTTCAATCAAAGGAGGAACATAGGTGGGTTACATGAAATTCATTGGTGATAGATTAAGGAGGAGGGATAAAGCAAAGCAGGGAAACCCCTGGGATTGGATAAAAAGTAAAATAATGGACACATACTTAGGTGAGTGCAGGAACAATTAACATGATGATGAAGGAATTTGTGGTATCTGTCCTGGGACCCAGCATACCTGGTTGTGCCCCAGGGGCTCCAGATACAGGGAAGTCAGAAGTTACCCAGACATTTCAAGGGTATGCTATCATAGATGCAAAAAGACAGATAGGCTCAGTTAAGGTAAAGGTTGACCTTGTCAGTGAAGATACTGGCCTAGGACGTAACTGCCCACCATAACTGCTTTTAGTTAAAGTTTAATTTCAGACCATCCTTTGTGGTTACTTTAGGTCTCCGGCTCTGCAAAACTGCCATGCAGGCCTCTCCTGAGCTTGTCAGGTCAGCATGTGGCCCCTTTTGTCCACACGTGGTACACATAAAGACTACAATATATTTTAAACTACTAATTTTTCGAGAGAAAATATAAGAATTATTTTTCTGAAAGATGAATTTCTATACTTTATGTATTTTGTTATCATAACCATATAATTTCTCCCAACTTAATTTGAACTTTTAAACTCTTAGAAGCCTCAAATTTTAGGTGGCAAGTTAAATACTTGGCATTTCTTAGATTAGTAATACATTTATATTTTTAAAGATATATTTCAAATAAAATACAAGACTTATTTAATTAATAGATTTGAATCTATCCTCTAGATTTTTTATATGAGGCAAACTCAGGTTAATATTTCAGTATTTTGTCATTTTAAAATACCTAGATATTTAATAATTTTTTATTTTGAAAAACCCTAACTTAACTCTGGTGCCAGATCACATATAGAAATTTTTTTGATATTTGCAACCATAGTAAAACAAAGACATATTTTTTTATATTTATTTTATATATTTAAATGCCATTTAACAAAGAAAAATCAATCAAAAAAATGAGTTCGCATGTCACCTCTGACACGCGTGTCATAGGTTCGCCATCACTGTAAAGTTTTAAGCTACCAAAGAATTTGGAAAACTATATATGAGGCTGACGAATATCCCTGCCTGTCACGCGGAAAGCTGATGAGAAGGCAGGGGGAAGAGGGAGCAGGCTCATAGCCACTTGAATATAAAACTGTCACATTCTTCCTTAGAGAGAACAGGTAAGGTTATGGCTGTGGCTTCTCTGGGACTGGCCCTTTCCTCTAACACAGAGTACAGCCAGTCTCCTCTTGAGTGACTGGACTTTCGTTATTAATCTATTTATAATTATTACTTAAAAGCTTTATTACAAATTCTTCATTTTAGTTACATTTATTTATTTATGTTTTAATAATTTTGAGATTTTAAAGCCAATTATTATTATCCAAGGCATTTTCTTTGGCAAATTCTGTAACAGAGATAACTTACTGACTTACAGTAGCTTTAATGTTAAAGTATTATTTTATTTTATAAAACCAGGAGTGCCCCTGGAGACCTGTGAGGCAACCCTGAAATGCAGTCCATTATTATTCAAGAACTACCCATTATTATGGAAACACTAATCTTATTGCCCAAACACAGCCTGTATATTTTCCTTGTGTCGTTTTTGCCATCTTTTAAAGAAAAACAGCCTTGGGTTTATTCTATAGCATCCATGAAGAGATGGGGCTCAGCCCAAGAGGCCACCCAAAATCAGGCGGGCGCTCCTTCTCTTAAGCTAGCCTTTTTCTCTTCATGGATACAGAAATCCCAGATGCCTCCCTAAATTGTGAGAAATGTCTCATCTATTCAAATTTCAAATGACAGACTGGGAAATAAAAACATGGCAAAAATAAGACTTTTAATAACACTCCCGGGAGTGGGCGTCCATTTTACAGGATCACCAAAGGACCTAGTAATTAATGGGCTGGGGCCTTTTTCAGTTACTTCCCTTTGTCTGGGGAATTTTCTTAGAACCTGTGTTATTGGCCACGTGTACTGCTCATACTCTTTCTCCCCACCCCACATCCTGTTTGCTTTGAGGAAATTCAGTAATGGTCTGTCCATCTACTGTTTCTTTTCTATTAAATTAAATTAAATTAAATTAAATTAAAGGCATGCTTAATAGACTAACAATAAACAAATTAAATCAAACAACAAAGACAGATAAAACAACAATTAACAGACAAGCGCCCATAACACATAGACAAGACTTAATAAATCAGAGTTCTTTTCATGGATCTTTCTCTCCATAGCATTGACTGACATCTAAAATTATTTTTGCTAAAATCTGTCTGTCCCAAGGCATCATATGGTACTTTTCAGGCAAAGAATTAAAGAGTCCTTTTGTAAAATGACTGTTAGCCCCATTTTCTCTAGCTGTTGAGCCTTTCCACACTAGAGGTGGAGGATCCGGGGCCTTAGATATTACAGACTTTTGATCACCAATACGAATTGGGCATAATGCCATTCAAACAAGAGCCCACATAGTTAAAGATGACAAGTGCACTCATTTTCCTTGAGCCTGATTTAAGAGAGTACCTTTTGACATTTTAATTCCTTTATCCTTGAGCATACAAGCTAAAAATTTACAATGATGTTTTTGCCTTTTACTCTAATTTTTCCCCATTATAGCCTGGCTGAAGTAAAAGATGTTTCCACCCACTTTACGGTTCGCGACTCTGAAGCTGGCACAGGCTTTGTGCACAGTGAATTTCTCTACCTTTTCGTTGAACCTCCCACCTTTCTGGTGAATTGCCTTTTTTCTTTGTTTTTCAATCCAGCGAATCTTCTCCAGATGCCCCACGTTGGGCGCCAGAATGCCACAACCTTTTGCAGCAAGGATTCAGGATCTGGAAAAGGGGCCTCAAACAAATGGATGCACTAGACAAGAAATATGAATTTAGAAGGCATGGGGGGGGGGGCAGGTGGGAAACCTTTCTCTCTAGTGGAGAGGCTCTCTGACTCCTGGGTCCCATTTGCTTTGATTCACTTGAATACATATTTGCCCTTTAGGAATGCAAACAGGCATATCAAAGGTAAAGTTTGGTAAACAGTAAAAGGATTATCAAATTAGGGGATTGCCTTGAGCCATTTGTCCAACAGTAGGGCAATATTATGCTGATTTTCAGCCCTGCTGAATATCGCATTGATATGCTAACTACTTGTTGGTCTTAGCCTCCGGCACTTCTCTCTCTCTCTCTCTCTCTCTCTCTCACACACACACACACACACACACATAGAGGCATGTTCCTAATTAAAGAATTCCTCTGCATCCTGCCAGCATAGCTCAGTGGTTGAGCATCGACCTATGAACAAGGAGGTCATGGTTTGATTCCTGGTCAGGGCACATGCCCAGGTTTCAGGCTTGATCCCCAGTGTGGGGGGTGCAGGAGGCAGCCAGTCAATGATTCTCTCTCATCATTGATGTTTCTATCTCTCTATCCCTCTCCCTTACTCTCTGAAATCATTAAACATATATTTTAAAAAAGAGAATTGCTCTGAAGAGTTTATCTTTAACTTGTTGAATGGCCCTGGAAAAGCAGGAATGTTCACCCAAAAATGTTCACTCATGCATGCACGCAACATGAGGGGGTGATGGGAGAGCCGGCTGGAGTCCACAGGCCACCACCTCTTCCTGGCCCCTTGCCCTCTCTAGGGCAACTGGGTGGCCTCAAAGACATGCCATGGAAAGGCTTGCTGAAGGAAAACCATTGTGACAATCTGTGACCACTGTTAACTGCTACTTGAGCATCAATCCAGTGGGTAAATTCTCTAAATGAACTTGGGGATGCTGCTGACTGGAATGCTGAAAATTCTCTCACACAGGACAGGGAAAGGCAAGTTCTGCCCCTGGCTGGTGCAAGATGAGGAAAAGCCAGTGACAAAGTGACATCAGAGGACAATGTGGAAGCCGGGGGATGGAAAGAGAAGTCCTGACTATTCTGAAAACATGCCATTGAGTCAAGTTCTTCCTTTACAATAGAAATGTGTTCCCACATATAGAGTATTGATTCTTGCACATTGGGGTGACTGTCCTTGTCCCTATTTTCTCTGGTTCCCATTTTTGGTTGAGCATATGTGTTTCTGACAGTTTCTCTTCACTGTTCTGCATCACCTTTTGGCCACTCGATTCTCCCCTGGTCCTTCTGGCCATATTTTAATCTTAAAAAATAACATCTGAGGCTGTTTCTTTGGCTCATCAACAGAATGACCCAAAAGCAAGAGGCTGTGTGATTGTCATGGACGGGGATTTTGAAAATGGCTGTTTTCTTTGGGTGTCTTCTTACAAATACCAAGCCCATTCAATCCGTTACTGTCTTGGCATTGTAACCTGTGGAGGACAATGGGGGCACAGTGCCTCCTCCAGCGAAATCAAGACTGTCTCCCAGGGAGTGATCTGCTTGGCCCCCCAGGGAGCCAAATGCCATCTGGGGACTCTGGGGCTGCTGAGTTTTCTCCAAAATCCAGTCCACATACTTGACCACATTGGTGTAGTTGCCTGGTCGCTCCTTTTTGGCACAGCCATCGCCCCAACTTGTGATGCCCACCAGATACCTGGCCCTTGTTGTGTTTACAGGACAGGGGGTCCCCAATTCTCCTTAGGACAAGGGGAGAAGAGGAAAGGCATACAGATCAGTTCAGGTGCTTCTCATTGGAAATGTATTTGGCTCAGAGTGATTTCACCTCAAATTCTGCCATGGCCCTTTAATAAACTCCAGTGCAAAGCCAATAAATACACCGGGTTCCTTGCTCATTGGCAGGAGACTGCTTTTTTCAAAAATTAATTTATTTTGTATTAACATTGGTCAACAGGATCACATAGGTTTCAGGTGTGTGTTTCTATGTTACAAGATCAGTGCATTGCACTGTGTGCCCACCACCCTAAGTCGAATCATCTTCTGTCACCATATATTAGGTCCCCTCCATCCCCCACACCCAGTCCCCTTCCCTCTGGCAACCACCACACTGCTGCATGAGCTCAGGAGGTTCGGTTCTATCTCTGACATGTGGGTGAAATCTCAGAGGCTAAGCAGGTGGGGCCTGGTTAGTACCCAGATGTGTTCAGTGCCCTACTTTGAATATACTTAGTTAGTTGAGAATGCTGTTACCTTACAGGTGTCCTTCCCTCCGTCTTTATAGCCTGCACAGATCATCTGATTGGTTATCTTATGTCCTGGGTATCTTGCCATCATCAGGGGTATCTTGGTTTTCTGGAGAGTATTTTGTATTTTGCCTGTGAAAAATTTAGTTTGTTGCCATAACCGGTTTGGCTCAGTGGATAGAGTGTTGGCCTGCGGACTGAAGGGTCCCAGGTTCGATTCCGGTCAAGGGCATGTACTGTGGTTGCAGGCACATCCCCAGTGGCGGGTATGCAGGAGGCAGCTGATCGATGTTTCTCTCTCATCGATGTTTCTGACTCTCTGTTCCTCTCCCTTCCTCTCTGTAAAAAATCAATAAAATACATTTTTAAAAAAATGTAGTTTGTTAATGGAATAATCATATATATAATATCAGTATAAATAGGCATTTAAAATATAAATAAATGTATTTAAAGTCAAAATTTTACCTGCATAAAAATCCAGAAAGAAAAAAATCCTGGGCTTGTCTCATAGATCTTTTATAATTACAGTGTAAGGGAGACATTATTATCACTATTGTACTATTTTGTTAACATTAATAAGTTAAGAAATTACTTAAGGCTCTAACTGAAATAACTTGCCACAGAAAATAATTGGATAACAGGCTAGAACATTTACAGAAAAGAGCTAGGTTTCACATTGAACTTCATTAAAAATAATTTGTCTCTAAAACGAATGTCATATTTAAAATTCTCAGTCAAACAGATGTGGTATCCTCCTCACTTGGGGGGTTTTGTCTTTCCCTCTTTTTCACCATACTTTCTGTAGTACATACTGTTTTTATTTTACTTGCATTTTAGCTGGAAGACGTGATATAGCAGAAAAGGTTATGATTAAATTGTGGTTTACCTGTAAAATGGGGCATGGAGAGAAACATCTTTTTTTTTTTTTTACCTCTTATTTCTCTGTGCCCCATCCAGTCCCCCAGCAATCAGTATATATTACATCTCTATCTGCTTTGGAAGGTAGGCATATGGGTCATTGAAAACCTAAATTTTAAAACATAAAATTTAGTTATGTTTATAGATGAAAAAGATACCTTCTTTCCCAGGAGGATTTGCCTTCTGTTTGCATTATTTAGTATCTTCTTTATTTAATCTGTTTATTTTCACTCATTGTCATACCCTTCCACCCCTCATGTTTGCACAGTCCAGGATGAGGGAAGAGAGACAAGCCATGGCCTCCCCCATTGTCCAGCATGCCAACTGGACTGTGCCCTGGAAGTTGCTTTATTGCTCTGACCTGCAATCCTTCTGTTCCTAAAAGGAAGCTATAAACCATCCTTGATATCCCAATGTTATTAAAATTATGCCATTTTGTGCATCTGAAGAAGCCTGCAGAAAGCATATCATTTTACCTAAACCCTGAATAAGATTCAGTAATTCGGAATGAGTGTCAACCTTCAGTCTTAACAGGAGGAAAGACTAGCTTTGCAAACACTCTTCATTCATAACAGCACGTGGAGAGATGGCTAGAGTCAGGACACATGATATCTAGCTCAGCATTGTAGGCAACTTGCCATTTTAAATTCTACATACTCCTGTAATTCATTCTTGTTTGCAGTTTCAACAAGGCAATATCATACCCACTTTCTTCCATTTGATATTGAACATGAATTATTAGTTCTGGAACCCCAAAGAAAGTTGTATTCTCTTTTACTTGCGATTGATATAAAATGCCATCATAGACATGCAAATCTTTAAGTGACTCTACTCTAAGGAGTAAATAATAGAGAAAAAAATTTCCTTTACCAAATAGCTCTCAAACATTTGAATTATTTTGCTATTTAACTGGCTATTATATATATATTAATGACTTCTCTTTTTTGTAATGCCTAGCAACTCCCAATTTCCAGTGATGGGCTTTTATGCGGAAAGAAGTGATTTCATGTTAAGGTGTTTCAGTTACATATATTTTCTATCTAGAGCAGTGATGGCGAGCCTACCTGATCACCCCTAACCACTCTGCCTGCCTGCCTGATTGCCCCTTACTGCTTGCTTTGGGGTGGGGCCAGCCCAGGAGTGGCTGTGGTGGTTCTGGTCTCTGGTCATTCCAGTCATTATGCTTATGGTGGCTGGCCTTTTATTATGTAGGGTAGAGGAAAGGAGAGGGAGAGAGAGAGATAGAAACATCAGCAATGAGAAAGAATCATTGACTGAATGCCTCCTACATGCACCTTACTGTGGATGGAGCCCACATCCCAATCAAACCCTGGCCTTCTGGTTCATAGATCGATGCTCATGAACCACTGAGCCATGCCAAGTGGGCCCTGGTTGTTCTTTTAAATAAATCAGTTGTTTGTCACGTGTCCCTTCCAGATCAATAACATCACCTGGGAATTTGTTAGAAATGCAATTTCTTGAGCCCCAACTCAGACCCAGTGATCAGAATTTCTAGTGGTGGAACCCAGTAATCTGACTGTTAATCAGCTCTGCTAAAGTTTGAGAACTACTGCTATAATAAAAAGTTGAGCAGCCCCCACTCAGTATGTCCAGTTCTCCCCCATTCTCTCCCCCTTGGGCTGACCTTTGGTCCATCACTCCTATTCCAACCTGGGATGCTTTTCTGTTTGTGAGCTGCTTCTGCCCTTTGGTCTTGTTGACAGTTTGGGGATCTCTGATGCAACTCTTGATACCTTTCAGGGACTTTGGTTCAGAGTTATCCCCTGTGTTTGTTTCCTGTCTTGGATGCCTCAAGCAGGAGAGTCCATTCTATTTCTATGTCCTGAGATGCCAAACACCAGACCCTACCCTCCTGGTTGGAGGCTTGGGCAAATGTGCTCCAATAACCTACATAGAATGGGAGTGAGGACCTCATAAACAACATTTTTCTAGAGCAGTGCTTTTATGTCTCAGTGGGTATATGGGTCGCCTGGTTGTTGTTGTTTTTTAAATGCAGATCCCGATTCTGTGTCTAGCATTATACTTTGTATTAAGAAATATTTCCTTGGATGGCAATTTTTCTGTATCTTCAGAAAGTTTAGTTGTATTATAGATCAATGACACTACAAGACATAATAAATATCTCGATTAGACATTTCCATTCATACTAGGATACTATTTCATCCAATAGAGTGCAGCAAAATCTAATTATCTTGTGCCTCTTTATTCAGAAGGTCCATTAAAAAGACATAAAGTTTTATTTTCCCTTATCTTACATTTTCTGCTTTAGCTATCAATTACACCTGATACATTCTGTAACCTTTACAGAATAGAGTTCATATTGTCAACAGAGAAGAACATAATGAAGGAAGGAGGGTGCAGAATGGATTCTGCAATTTAAGGCATAAGTGCTGGTTCCTATTTTATAAACTATGTCGACTTCACTAACAACAAAATTTGCTATGTCCCTTTTAATGCTTGGTTAAACTAAGATAACAGACTTATAAATACTCCTTCTTGTCTTTGGTAAACTTATTGTGAGGAAAACAGGGAATGTATGAGATATAACTGCCTTGACTGACTGTAAAGAAGAAGGAGCCATCCAAAGATTCCCATCAGAGCCCCTGGACATTAAATAATAAAAGCCTTAAATCACGTGATTTTATGTAAATCAATAAATCCTAATCAATAATAGGGTGCGATGGTATTTTAAGGAGTGTGTGTGTTACACCTTTTCCTGTTGGCGAGTTTATCTTTTAGGTTAGCAATTTTTAATTAATGTGCTGCAAGAACTTTTAAACCATGCAAGAGCTGACTCTTTAGTCAGAGGTACTGATCTCTTTTTCCTTAGATTATAAAAAAAACCGATAACAGTCAACACAACAACACCCGTTGTGAATGAATCAAAATTGTACCTATTTTTTGTCAAATCAGCAAAATTTTTTTTTTTTTTTTTTTGGTGTGGGGCAGAATTTTAGTAATTTGTTTATGTGTGCCATGAGATGGAAAAGGCTGACAATCACTGGCTTAGATAATTCTGTTTGCCCACAAATCATTTCTTGCTACTATTCTCAGAATTGGCCACTGGGCTGGAAACACTGCTGATCAGAGTTTTACTCTAATTTTTATGTTATAAGTCTTGTTTAATCTAGACAATTCTTTTATTTCCACTCCCTATGACAAATTAATGTTTTTCCAGTAATTTTTGTGAGTATTCATAAGTATGCAGAACCTGAAATAATGAAAGCCCCTGAAAGGGAGCTACTTGAGTATTTCTTGAATAGATCCCTAATTTTTCAAACATATAATGATTGTTTATGTTTCAATTAAAGATCAAGTAATGGCCAATGGAAAGAAAATGAATAATTTGATTAACCAAGATGCTGGCTGATATTTCAATTAAAAAGGATAATAAGAAAGATAATTGGCCTCAATAACAAAAAATCAGACATGAAAGTGTTGGCCTATCATGAGTCTCGCCATGAAATACCAGTTGCATAAATGCAGCAAATTAAAACACATATCCAATTACTACTAGGCAATGTATCCAATTACTACTAGGCAATGCAAGTTAGTCAAGGCCCATTGTTTATGGTTCAAACATGGTCAGCATGGGTGATAGAAGTGAAAATAACAGGTCATTGTAAATTGGTGTTTTTCTTACTAATTTTAATCCCCCTGCGACTATTATTGACTCTCTTTGTCATGACATAGTAAGTATAGAATAGCTCCTTCAGATGTATTTTTTTCAAGTGATGTGAAACTCACCATTATCAATCTTATATAACCTTAATGTATATCCAGAGATGCCTCCTGTCCTATGAAGTATTTTAGTTGGAGATCCATTTGAAGAAACTTTTAAGTAACATTTACCCCTGCAGGTTGGAAACAAAATGGTATAAACTTGATGCTCCTCTCGAAGAGATGGAATGGAGCAATGATGTTACCTTCTTGTGTCTTAATTCCCTCCATGGTCAGATTCTTGAGGTGGAAAATAGGTAAAAAAAAATTTGGCAGCAGATGGTGTCGGTACACATTCTCTGGCAGGCTCTATGCCCTTTTACATCAATAGCATCCAGTTCTTCTCCCAAGAAATCAGTGTCATGGTAAAATGGAGTGTGGCAGATCACTGGACAGCAAATCACACATCAGAGACACACAACCTTAGCTCCCATCAGTGTCCTCAAAAGAAAGTGATCTCAACCAGAGGAAAGTGTTTTCATTGTTTACCTGGGATGCTGTGCCTGCAGCTTTGTGGACTGAAACCAGAAATAGCTCTGTTCTTTTTAGTGCGTGTACTTGGTAACCTGCCTTTAGATGTTTTAAGGAGACAAAGATTTCTAATGGTCAAAAAGGGAAATATACATGAATCACATAAAACATATTAAAGAAAAATAACATTTTCACAGCACATAGGTAAGTCAATTCATGTTGACATTTAATAGAGAACATTTCCCATTTTGAAAGTACTCTTCATAAATCACTGAGTCAGACTCCAGGAGCTATAGGTTGGAGATGAGTTTTCAAAAGAGAACCACCTGCCTCCATAAAAAATATCTGAGCTTGTTCTCTTGTCAGTGTTCCTAGCATCTTCATTCCTTCTTTCCTTTCCTTCAATGCTCCCAGCCTATCTCAAAGACGCAAGAATTTTCATGCTACCTAGCAATCTGCCGCCCTGAGCTGCTGCCAGCTTAGACAGGGAGGAGTGGAACCCACCGCCGGCTTCACATCCAAGCAGCACCTTCCTGAAAGGAGTAACTTTTCCTAATTAGCACAAGATCACAGTCCAGAGCGGTGCTGTCCAATAGCATTTTCTTCATTGATGCCACCCGATACAATAGGCACTAACCACCCGTGGCTATTGACCACTGAAAATGTGGCTAGTACAGCTAAGAAAATGAATACTTAGTTTTATTTCATCTTAATTAATTTAAATGTCAATAGTCAAGTCTTGGCTTGTAGCACCCATAATTCTCTGTCGCCCTGTTTTGAGGGCCAAATGTGTTATTTCTCTCACAGGTATTGATTGGGAATTTTATAAATAAAATTTTAAAAGGACCAGTGATTACACAAAATAACACACTGCAAAGGTATCTTTCTAAATTTTGAAACTTATTATGTTCCAAGACTTGCTCTTTGAACCTCCTTTCTTCTCTACCAGCTGTTTGCTGGTGCCACTCAAACACAGATCTAGTGTGTAAATGTATCTTCTTAATCCCAGAATTCCCTTTCTAAGTCCAATTCAACATTTCTCATTAAGCATCTAATAGATATCAGATCCTGGAAACATCTTTCACATCTCCGTCATTGGCATCTCCATTCTTTCAATTCTGTGGGCCCAAATCTTGAAGCAATCACTGACATTTTCTTTGACAATATACCCCAATCTGATTACTTCCCTGTCATTTCCACTCTAGTCCCAATAGGGAGGTTTTTTTTTGTTGTTGTTTGTTTGTTTTATCTATTTAGTTCATTAATGGTATCCCTAGTGTCTAGAACAGTGCCTGGTATATAGTAGGCACCAAATAAATTGTATTAAGTTTGTTAAATCAGTGAAAGTGACAAATATATTTTCATGTGATAGAACAAGAACTTCTGAAATTACAGCCTCACTCAATGGAAAACCAGGCTTGCTTGATGGACAAGGAACTCAAGGGCTTCCCTTAGCTGGATTGTTCTGGGGAACACTCTCCCCCAAAATGAGCAACCGAGTCAAACAAATGTTAAGGGCCCTGAGAATTCTAATGTAGATAATACATACATTCCAGATTTTGAAACAGATTTAATCTTAAGGTTATTTTTTTTAGTGAATCTTGTCAATGAGGGGCAAGACCCCAGCAAGTGTTCCTTTAAGGATCAAAGAAATTTCCCACACTTCATTATGGCTTCCCGTGTTAATATGCCTCAGTACGTGGAATATTCTCAAACCTCCCTACACCCCCATCCCCACTCCAATTGATATAGGCCATCATTTCCACTTCTCTCCACTTTGGATTTAACATTTCAATGATATTTCCAGGTCTTTTTGCTCCAGGCTCAATGATCTTAAACCAGACATTGGACTAAGCTGCCTCTGAGTGGCCATCCTTATATTCTTCTTTCCATTCAGAACTAAGCAGCTCTTCCTTTGCCAAAGATAGAGACCTCCCTAAGCTAAAGAAAACCAAGGATCCTTGGTAGTACTGGGTTTGTGGGCAGTAGCTAGGGAACAGAAAGGGAGAGGGGTGAGGAATTCTATGCAAGTTTTATCTACCTTTCCAGATATTTTGACTAGATTTGTAGTTGCTCAGAACTTTTAATGGTGCATTTTGATCAGTTGTTTTTAAAAGGTAACACATGAGTCTTACTCATAACTCCTTACCTTTCAGATTCCTTTGGCGATTCTTGAGAAAAGAAGGTAAGAAACAAACAACTGGGATGGTAAGTACAAATGCTGCGACAGCTAAAGTCATCGGGAGCCATGACACTGTCGATGTTACTGTCTGCAAATGCTGTACTGGGGAAAATGTCCCAAATACAAGCTGGATAGCAGAAGAAACCATATTTAGGGAATCAATTCACCAGTAGAATCTGTAAAATCTCAGTCATAGTATTTGTAAATTCCATACAAAATAGTTTGCTGGGGGGTGAGGAAGAAATGAATAGGTGGAACACAGAGGAGTTTTAGGGCAGTAAAATGCTCTGTATGACACTATAATGAGGGAGGCATGTCCTTATACATTTGTTCAAGCCCATCGATTCAAGTACAGCCCCAAGAACGAATCATAATGTAAACTATGGACTTTGCGTAATTATGATGTGTCAATTCAGGTTGATCAATTGTAACAAATGCACTGCTCTGGTGGGAGATGTTGATAATGGGGTCTGTGGGTATGTGGGGGTAGAGAGTATATGGGAAACCTCTACACCTTCCCCTCAATTTTGCTGTGAACCTAAAATCATTCTAAAGAAATAATGTCTTAATAATAATTTTTTAAAGTTAATTTATCTCAAAATCTTTCAAACATTTTTAAATTAGGAACACCAAAGTGATTATTGTAAGCTTAAATTCAAATATAAACTCTAGTTATATAGGACATAATAAAATTTTTCACATGAAGAAGACAACATGTCATTGGTCTATTTCATCAGAGAACATAAAATGGGTGCCCATCAGACATACCATCCGCAACTCTTATTTAATGGTTCAGTCACCTCGTTAAGGAAATCATAGTTTACCCAGGTGAGAAAGTACACAGGATTTCAGTGAAAATCTAGATACCACTTCACTGAGCTTCATTATTCTGGTTGGTGTCCCCGTTTGGGTATTCTTCAAAAGACAGATGTTACTGAAAATAAAACAAAAATGGAAAAATATTTTATTCTTCCAAATGCAAGTAAGAAAACTATCAGATGATGAGGCATTCCCACTTGGAGACTGCCTGAGCCCTTCAGCTAAGGAATTACTCTGAAAAGCACGGATCTGGAGGCTGGACAGCTGGGTGGCGTCCCCACTCTGCCAAGACCTGGTGGTTCTGTGAATTTTGCCAACTTGATTTTTCATCAGTAAAATGACAACATGAGAGAGGGGTGAGACAACAATGGGGATGTAGGAATTAATGACTTCTCTTTTTTGTAATGCCTAGCAACTCCCAATTTCCTGGCTTATTCATACTGTGTTAAGTCTTGCATGTAAAATATGTAAGAAGATGTAGTTTGAGGTAAGCTAAAGACAAAATCACTTAAATATTAAACATGAAAACTTAATGATTAATTTGGGAGGGGTTGTTTTGTTTTGTCATTGTTTTTGAAATAAATCTTTGATACTTTGTTTGCTTTCCACTATTCCGCTTTTTGTGAATGGAGAGAGCAGAAAATTAAAATCCAAGTGCTAATCATTTGAACTTATTTCCCCATTTCCATTGGATTTCATATAGCTATAGTTTATTATACAAATCTAGAACATCTCAACTTATTTCTAAATATAAACGTTATAATATTTCTCCTACCTTTTTTAATAAAAGAGAACACAGATTAATCATTAGAGATCAAATCATTTTACAGTCCTATAATAGATTCATCCCTGGACTATTTCAAAATCCAGTATGAAGCAGGTTACCACATTCCACATGGGCTTCGGTTATTTTGTCTTTGGTAGGAAACTGTTATTTGGAGAACCACGAGCAGTTTTGTTTTGTTGTTTTTATTTTAATCTACTTCATTCCTACCCTCGCGTGGAAACAGAAAAATAATGCCGATGGCCTTCTTACAGGGACACAATATTACACTTGTAAATTCTTTCTGCAATTTGCTGACCCGGCCTCGCTTGTCTCCTTAACACCAGTGATTGGCTGATTTACTAAACCTATTCAAGTATCTACATCACTATTAAGACAAGTGACATCTCAACACTTGCTGCCTTTGGTTTGAATTAATATGTTTAATAAGGACTTTCTTATAAAATTTTAAGCTGTGAAGGAAGGGGCAATGAATGGTGAGTACTGATGTAGGTAAACTGCGGTGGGGCTAAGGGGCGTACATGCCCGCATGCTAACTTTGACTCGACAGAGAAAGAGCTTCATTAGGAGACTTTATTTCCATATGTCAGTTTTCTTTTATAGCCATAAGATCATGTGACCATACATATATATCACAATAACTAATATATATACTAGAGGCCCATTGCACGAAGAGATTCATGCAATAGGCCTTCCCTTCCCCTGGCTGCCAGCACGTTTTCCTCTGGCACCCGGGATCCAGGCCTTCGCTCTGGATGGAGCCTTCAGTCTTCTCGGCTCTGGATGGAGCCTTCAGTCTTCACTCTGCCACTTTGCTCCTATGTATGCAAATTAACCGCCATCTTTGTTGGGTTAATTTGCATACTCTCCTGATTGGCTGGTGAGCATAGCAAAGGGATGGTTAATTTACATGTTTGTCTGATGCAGTCTGCTGGATCTGGTCTCCTCTCCTTGTCACAAGGCACAGGGCTGTGTTCTACTCTTCATCAATCTTTTCTTTGTTGATCAGAATGACTTTTCAGGGTTTGGGCCAGATAAAATATTCTTAGCCTGTGAGGATGTGTGGAACCCCAGCAACCGCTGCAAACCTCGGAGAGAAAGCTGCCCTCACGTTCCAACTGATGCCAGACAATCCCGCTTCTCCCGTTTGAGTCTGAGTCCCTAGAGACTCGCCCGGATCTGGAGCTCAGAGTCTGAGACTCCCTCCTGATTGAAAACGACAACCGCGCCCTCAGCCACCAGCCCGCTCTGCGCGCGCACCTCCGCACCTTTATATTTTCCACACTGCGCCTCCTCTGAGCCTCG